CTGCCATTCGGCGGGGCCCTAATTATATACCAATGTATTAGGTATAAAGTAATTCCATTTTTATGAATAATGTATGATATGATAACCAATGTTTTTAACTTGCAGCTGATGACCAATAGGGATAATATATTATTCTTATATTTCAGATATATATTGCTATTTTTATACCCCTTTATGCACCAAGAAATACTTCATAAAGTATGTCAATGAGCTCATTGACTATATGAAAGTTGGACTTGTCAATATCAGTGAACTTCTGAGAACTTCCTGATATGGACAATCTAAACTTGACCATTCCAAAAGAACATGTATATATAGTAATGTTTTATTTACAGGAATCAGTTATTCAATTGTTTTCACAATAGATTGTAATGTTTTATTGACAGAAATCAGTATTTTAATTGTTGCCTCATGATATGTGTATAATATTTTGGATTTTTTTTTTCATGATACATTTTGTATTTTAACTGAAGATTGCAGGAGCAATATTGGCGACGAGGGGAAGGGTATAACCAGTATATTTTAGATGCTAAATATCTTTAACTTATACTGAAGTATTAGAATCATTAGAATTCCACATTTTAACATGCTGGCATCTAGAATATACTGGTTATAGTACCATAAAAATAAGACGAAGGTCAGATTTACTGTGGGAAAATAAAATCATGAAACTGTCAAAATCAAAAGGAGCTTTCTTACGTCAAATTAAATGTTGTGCTAAAATTTCATCAGAATAAGTTAAAGCAAATTTGACCTATTTTACTATGTGTCGACATACAAATGCACAAATGGACGGACTAGCAGACTTCAATATACCAAATATGTGCAGTCTTAGATGAGAGTAAAAAAGTTACTCCACAAAAAACTATGGAGTTTTTAAAATGAAAATAAGGTAAAGGACAAGAAGACATATTCCAGACAGAAACTTCAGAACATTAGGCATGTGTATGCAGGATATGAAGTATCCAGGTCTTATACCTTCTTATACATACCGCCTCATTGAAAGAGCTGATGCTCACTTCACTGGAAAGGCATCACTATGCCTTTCATTCTGCGACATTTGTATAAAGTGAGACAAAAAAGAAAACAAGGAAATCTTAAGACAAATTTTTACAAAACTGACAGACATCTATATAGTATTCAAGTCAATTAGTTCTAAGTTCAGGGGTTCAAATTAACATTTGGTACTGGAAGGTCCAGGACCTTTGACAATCCAAACTGAAAGGTCCACAACCTAAATCCCAGGTCCTACTTTTACAGGAAAAATTTCATAACGCAATAAGATACAAAATTAATGAGCTTTTGGAGTGAGGTTAGTTTGTTTCATCATATTTGAACTGCATGTGATGTTTCGTTTCTCATATAATGCCTAAATGGGCTATCCAGCGAATAAACAGTTTACAACCTACAATATTGAAGTACTGCTTACACATCAACACCATTTTTGCACTGGATTTCAAGAATAAATTCATAGTCACTGAAGAGTTTCCCTTTTTTGCAATACTGTATGCAGTGTTGAAAAGAACCTTATATCTATTTAACTGATCAGGCTAACATTCTGCTTGAGAATACATTGTCCAAGTTTAGTGTCTGACAATTAATCTTTAGGGGACGACCATTTGATATTCTGGTAGGGGCCAGGAGGATTTGTTTTAGATTGGTTATTTATTTTTTATCTATTTTCTGCACTGTTGAAGCATGATTTTTTATTTTCATTAAAACAAGGAACTGATTATTTATTTTCACAATTATATTTATAATATTTGAAAACCCACAATTTTTAATTTTTTTTTTTATTCCTAAATAGATAATAAATGTATAGTCAAACCATTATGTACCATTTAATCAGAATTAATCATCATCCTGTGGAAGTGAATTTTCTGAATTCCCAACTGCATTTATTGCATACGTACAAGGTATTAAAGTTGGGCTGTAACTAAGCCTCTTTTAAAAGTAATGTCAAACATATTTGCCGAGCGGAGCGAATAAAAAAAAATCGTCTAAGGCTTTGGGGGCCGCTGAAGGCCCCAAGAAGATATAGAAAAATGATGCAAAATCATGCATTCTGCGCGTTTCCCAGATCCTTTCTTAATCTGAAATGCAAGTTCTGGGGTTAATTATTTTTTCGACAATATTTTGGTCTCAAAGCAAAATATATAGATGCAGTGTAAGACTTTTAGTTTTTAGGGACAACATCAAAAGACCAATATGTAGGATAAAGCAAAAAGTGTAATTCACAAACTTAAGTATGTGGCTGCTTTTTTTTTAAGTGTTTTGGCTTGCAGAAAATCTTTTTAATATACCTGTCAATTATGTGTTTTTTTTCTCTTTTTGTTTCTTGCAAGGCATTCGAAGTAAAAACAATTTAATATGAAGACAAGCTTTTGTTTTTGAAATTTCTTACCTGAGGCATTTGCCTCGATTTAGTTACAGCCCTCTTATGAAAGTGAGGTAAATGTTCCTGAGTTAATATACCTCTAGTTAATTGAAACCCATTTTCAGACATTTCAAGTACATTAATATTTATACATTGTATTATAAAAGATTTGGGAAGTTTTTCCCGAAAAAAATATGTAAAAAGATGAATTTTGGAAGAATCTGGTGCCATTTCATACTTTAGAATAGCATTTATAAAATGGCTTAAAAGACCTGCCAAGTTATTTATTTTCAATACATTGTAGGTCAGGTCAATTTATTTTCAAACTACCACAGAACAAACCATTCATTTTTGTTATTATCAAGGCTGAGTTATTTATTTTCAAAATCCTCCTGCCCCCCCCCCCCCCCCCCCCTCCCAGAATATCAAATGGTCGTCCCCTTAGTCATAATTAGACATAAAATTTGGGTCACTTTCATGGATCCACTGCTCTAAACAAGATAAATGCTGGGGTGTCACTTAGTATATTTTTTTTGGGTCTATTTTAAGGTTCATCTATACACTTCAACAAAAATGGCTGTGTTTACACCATGAAATTTTCTCTGAATGCAGACAAAACTGTGTAATTCTAATAGTTTTAAATCCTGGCAGCACCTAGATATATACAAGTTGTATTCATTTTGTGTTTTAAAAAGAAAAATACTTTTGTGCATTTTGCTAAACATTTTCTTTCCTTGCCACAGGTGGTGTAAAAATAAACAAAGTCATGTGAAATCTTTAAGATTGTCCCCCTCGGGTAATGATTGTATTGTATCATATTGATTGATATGGACAATAGAGGGACAATAGAAATCTACTCACAACAAAGGTGATTTAAATAGTGTAAATGAGTGGACTGTATCAAAGAAAACGCAGGTGTTTGTTTATTTCACCATCTTCTGTGGCAAGGAAAGAAAATGTTCATCAAAATCCATAAAGTGTTTTAACTTTTTAGAACATAAATTGGATGTAACATTAATTTATCTAGGTGCTGCCAGGCATTCAAACTTTTTACATTACACAGTTTTGTCTTTACTCAGAGAAAATTTCATGGTGTAAACACAGCCATTTTTGTTAAAGTGTATAGATGAACCTTAAGATTTTGTGTTCCCCTTACAAGTGCACTTTCTTTTTCTGAATGGCAGGGGAACTTCTGGCAGTATGTGCATGACATTAGACCAGTTGATTCATCAAAATATAGCCACGGTCGATCGATTTTCCTGTGGGGCTTAAATGTCCGTTCCTGTTTTTCACGATCGCATTTTTGGTCTTTAGTGAGATCTTCATTTGATTTCTTTTGAAGACGTTGAAGACACAGGCACTTCAAGTCTTGTTTCTATCCATGGAAAGGTTGAATATCCTTCTATATTTATGGATAGTCGACCTTCCCATGGATAGAAACAAGTGCCTGTGGTTGAAGACCGTTCATAATCTTCATAATCTTCAGGCTTTCTCTTGGAAGACGTGACACCAAAGTGAAACGTCCTCATTTTGTTCGAAAATGTCTAAATGATTAAATGATTTGTCACGTGACTTCTCGCAACTATTTATAACCTTGTGTTTCCAAGAAATACAAGGTTAAAAATAACTCTATCGTCGGCAAGGTCAGGGATGAAACATTTTTTTATTTCAATTTCAATAATAATATGGCTTAAAAATGACGATACAGATGGTTAAAAAGGTCAGCAAAAATCATTTTTATTTCCTTTAAGATCGAAGGTCCGTCGGGCGTAGCTAGTAACCAAAACGAAAGTCCAATTGCAACAGTGGAAGGTCACGGACCTCGGACCACCGCTAATTTGAACCCCTGTAAGTTAGAAAATGTTTTTTGATTTTTGGATTATTAAACAAGCCGAAATAATGTTTCCATAACCATGATTACACAACTAAAAAAAAGATGAAAATGTCTGAGGACAAGAATGCCCCAGCTCAAGCTTTACAATTTTACAAGTTAAAAAGAGGCATAACTCTAGAACAGTAAATGACTCACAACCCAAATTCGAACTATGTCTGCTAGTTTTGGTTCTAAGCATTGTGTATGAGGTTCATAAAATTTGGATGAGAGAAACTTAAGTTAAGAGTGCGGAAACAAAATGTTTTGCAATTTTCTAATTTATAAAGGGACATAACTTTCGATTGGTAAGTAACACAATGCCCAAATTTTAACTCTGTCTAAAAGTTGTTGTTCTAAGCATTGTGTATGAGTTTCAAAACCAAATTTGGATGAGTAAAACTTAAGTTGGAGTGCGAAACCAAAAAATTACAATTTTCCAAGATATAAGGGTTCATAAATTTAGAACGATAAGTTCCCATGCAAATTCAAACTATGTCTGTGAGTTTTGGTTCTTAGCATTATGTATGAGTTTCATAAAATTTGCATGAGGCAAACTTCAAGTGCAGAAACAAAAATGGGAAGGATAGAAAGAAAACCAGATGGAATTATGGACTGAAGGAAGGTCAAGGGTGACACTAAATGCACCCGTTGCCTATGGTGGGGGCATATAAAAAATGATTTTGTAACCTACAACATTTTCTAAAAGTAAAACTAATCCTTTTATCTTTATAAAATATTTGGCAATCTTACTTGACACAAAACATGTGTTGATACATCCATTTTGCTCAGTGCTTCTGCCAAGGCTTTGAAATTGCACTCATGTTTTATCTCTTTCCATTTTGCTAATACCAAAAAACTTGCAACCTCTGTATCTGTTGGATAATTTTTTTTTATCTTTTCTGATTTCTCAAACATATCTAGATGTACTACTAATTCATCCATTTGGCTTGGAGAACAGTTGTTTGAAAAACGCAACAATTCAATATCACTTGGTCTCTTGTTCAAAGCATTATCACTAAGACCTGAAAATGAAAAATTGTTATTATGTTTATTTTATTTTCATTACAGGAAGCCGAATCCAAAAAGAACCTTTCCAAGAGTCCCAAATTTGGACTGATTGTGTTAAGTTTGGAAAAAACATTGCCAGACATAAAACATTTAATACATTGTTTTAGTTAGTCCTATAAAAGAATTGAAAGTATACTGTGGATTCATTTGTTTCCATGGGTACCAATTTTTGTGGATTAAGAAAAACTTACATGTTCGTGGATATTTAATTTCGTGGTTTTTGACAATGTCTGCATACAAGCCTATAGTAAAGGAGTAGGTTCAGTAAGACCCGTTTTTGGCCCCAAAATATAGCAGTTTTACAAAATTGTTAAAATGTAAACTTATAGCTTTTTATTGGAAAGTAGAATACTTCTGTTACATACATATGGGTTGTTTTTGACAATACAATGCATATGTATCGGGTACTAGCATCATTAAGTCATGCTAAATTACTGAAATCTTCATAATTTTAGCATTTGAGTTAATTTTTAGACGGTTTCCGTCTTAAATGGATGTGGCCGCATTTGTGTTCATTCTTAATATTTACATGTAAGTTGTATTTGATGATAATACATAACATATATAAAGGTTGAGGATGAACACGGATGCGGCCACTTTCATTTTTGACAAAAACCATCTGAAAAGTGACATATTATGGCATATTTGAGAGATGTATAACATTTAAGCTTGAATATGAGCGTCTTTAATGACAAAATCAGTTCAAATCTTTCACATAAACTAATTGAAGCTACTAAGTTAGACACTTAAGTGTTTAAAAAGTGTCCAAAATCTTTCATCAGATGAACCTAATATTTGGGGCCAAAATCGGCCCTTACCGGACCTACTCCTTTGCCATTCGTTGAACATTTAATTTCGTGGTTAACCTTTAACCAAGAAATCCACGAACATTGGTATCCAAAGAATAATAATGAATCCACAGTATAAAATTAGGAGATAACTGTATTGTATTTTAAGCTCTGACGGCATCAATTGGTGATTTGATGGTTGCAAATTAAGTTTACTGGTGACGCGTAAGGTGAGCCAGTAAACAGGTATTTGCAACCATCAAGTCACCAATTGATGCCGTCGGAGCTTAAAATACAATATTGTTATCTCCATAATTCTAATGAAGCTGACAGAAAACAATGTTAAAACATACATTTAAAATCTGTCATACGTCGCCTGAGCTTGCGTGTATGTTTTCATAGCATCAATTGTTAATTGATGCCATGAAAATTTGTGACGTTATCCAATCAAAATCAATGTTACAAACGATGTTGCATTAGAATTAGTTTTGTTTATCAAATGTTTTGTGTATTTAATTTAGTGGCATAATTTGTCTAGCTACAATATTTCAGGTCTTATGACTTATGACCTAGATGAAAATGAGTTATTGCATACAGGTTTAATCAAAAAGAAAACACTATAAAGTTATTTTGACATATTCTTTAACATAAAGGCGTTACAAGTTTTTTTTGGTATTAAGCCACAAATGGAATTGATTGACTTACGAAAACATTTATTCATAAAGTTACATATAATAATATATCAGCTTCTTGTCTATGTTCAATATTATATTTGTTCATTATTTCAACAAGATTGCACATGCTGAGATATTTCGCCTTTAAGATATCAAAAAAGAAAAACCAAAACAGCTTTGTTTTTTTTAAATTTCATAACGTTCATTCTTTTTTTGTTTTGAGAATAAAGAACAAAAAGATGCAAGTCTACATGGACCATCTCACATGGGAATCATATAAATAAATGCTTAGAAAATAAAATAAACTGCTTCGCTGAGTGCAGCTGGTTACGCCCGCAGAGGTCCAACCCTGAACAGTTGGGGCAAAAATTGACACAATATTCAAGCTTGATACAGGTCTGAATTTGGATTGTAATTAAATATTTGACATATAATAGGTTTCTGAATAAATGTAGTCAAAGAACTTGAAATTGGTTATATGCGAACTGCTTAAAGCATTTTTTAGTTATTGTCCAAAAACTGGAAAATCCCCCCTTTTTTAATGAATAAAACCCCATAACTCAGAAATGTAAAATCTAAAATTTATAAAATTCTAAAGGGAGCTTACATCAACAGATATAAACAATTATAAATTAGCTGTTAACAAAACTTTGAATTTTTGAAATACTAAGGCTTTTCTACCTCAGGAATAGATTACCTTAGCTGTATTTGGCAACACTTTTAGGAATTTTTGGTCCTCAATGCTCTTCAACTTCGTACTTTATTTGGCCTTTTTAATATTTTTTGATTCGAGCGTCACTGATGAGTCTTTTGTAGATGAAACGCGCGTCTGGCGTAAATATAAAATTTCAATCCTGGTATCTATGATGAGTTTATTTACAACCACTGGGTCGATGCCACTGCTGGTGGAGATTTATTTCCCCGAGGGTATCACCAGTCCAGTAGTCAGCACTTCTGAGTTGACTTGAGTTATCATTGATATGTTCATAATTATAAATTAACTGTTAACAAAACTTTGAATTTTTGAAATACTAAGGCTTTTCTACCTCAGGAATAGATTATCTTAGCTGTATTTGGCAACACTTTTAGGAATTTTTGGTCCTCAATGCTCTTCAACTTCGTACTTTATTTGGCCTTTTTAACATTTTTTGATTCGAGCGTCACTGATGAGTCTTTTGTAGATGAAACGCGCGTCTGGCGTAAATATAAAATTTCAATCCTGGTATCTATGATGAGTTTATTTATCACCAAAGTTTCATGAGAACTGCTGAACGCTGACTTGAGTTATTGTCCAAAAACTGGAAAATCCCCCTTTTTTATGAATAAAACCCTGTAACCCATAAACGTAAAATCTAAAATTTATAAAAATCGAAAGGGTGCTCATGTCAATAGATATAAACAATTCACCAAAATTTCTTGCAAGTTGGTGAAAGCATTCTTGAGTTATTGTCGGAAAACTGGAAAATCCCCCCTTTTTTGATGAATAAAACCCCAAAACTCAGAAACGGTAAATCTGAAATTTATAAAAAACGAAAGGGAGCTCACGTCAATAGATATAAACAATTCACCAAAGTTTCATGCATATTATTTAAAGTTTTTATTTTTGAGTTAATGTCCGACATGTTGACGACGGACGGACAGACAACGGTATACCATAATATGTCCTGTAAACGGGCATATAAAAATTGTATAAGGGTTCCCTGTCCCCATCTTACCTGTGCGTTTCTATGTTACTTCTGAAAAACAATCTTGAACCATCTTACTTAAATATTGCTAAGGAGAAGGTAAACGAAGTAAAAAACTTATATTTTAAAAGAAGTCAATTTGAGATAATTTGAAAAAAAAAAAAAAATGCAGTAACTTTTTTACAGAAATATTGGATTGGTAGTCCTTGGTTGCACAGTTACATACAATTCACAATAAGAATGCACACATAATTGTTGTGCTTAGCATACCCCCACTTGTAATTCAAAGTATTAGAAGACATAAATTAAGTGTCTAACAGACCCAAAAAAGAGCTGTGCAATGAGCGCATGAAATGCCCGTCTCTCTTTTAGATTGTCTTTATGCTTTAAATGAATCTATATGATCAACTAGAAATATTGTGAGCACTGCTCAAATAGACCCCCCGCCAAAAAAAAAGACATGCACACACATTTGTCCTATTGACAAAAAAATATATGAATAATTTGGCACTTATTAGTCTATCTCAAATTTGTGTCTAAGTTTGTGGCCATGATTTTTGAACGAATAAAATTCAACAACTGTCCAAAGTGTGAATAATGGACAGTTTTTGACGATTCTTTAAAAAATAAAGTTCCATAACTCTGCAATATCATTTCAGAAATTTACAAAACAAGAGTCTCTCAAGAGCCTGAATCGCTCACCTGTATTTCAGAGGAGAAGATTTTTAAATGTTAGCAAACTTGATGAACAAATTGTGTAAAATTGTCTTTAAAGGGCAATAACTCCTTAAGGGGTCAATTGACAATTTTGGTTATATTAACTTTTTTGTAGATCTTACTTTGCTGAACATTATTGCTGCTTACAGTTTATATATATCTATAAAAATATTCAAAAATAATAACAAGAAACTGCAAAATTTTGTTAAAACTACCAATTTCGTGGCAGCAACCCAACAATGGGTTGTTCGATTCATCTGAAAATTTCAGGGCCGATAGATCTTGACCAATTAAACAATTTTACACCATGTCACATTTGCTCTAAAAGATTTAGTTTTTGAGATATAAGCCAAAAACTGCATTTGACCCTTATGTTCTATTTTTAGCCATGGCGGCCATGTTTGTCGATGGATACAAACTTCGGATACAATTTATAAACAAGATACCCTAAGGAACATTTAGTTAAAGTTTGAAGGTAATTGGCCCAGTAGTTTCAGAGGAGAAGATTTTATGAAATAGTTTACGACGACAGACGACGGACGCCAAGTGATGGCATAAGCTCACATGGGGCCCTCAATACTCCAAAAAGTCAAATCAGAACTTTTTAAAAATTGAAAGAGAACTTATGTCCATATATATGACCAATTCACCAAAGTTTCATGAAAATTGCTCAAAGCATTTTTTAGTTATTGTCTGAAGTGTTGATGACAGACAAACGAGGTACACTTTCTCTTAGACAAACGTTTCAACAGAGAATAAAATATTTACAAATTTTACAAAAACATACACTTTAGCCTTTGATAGTTTAAGGTATAAAACCACTAATTCATAGCCCCATTGCTTTCTATGTTAAATTCTGCAATTTCAAGCATTAATAGCTACTTTATCTTAAGTTCAAATAAAGTGGCAGTTATTTCATGTCAAACCTGTACCTTATCCTGACTTGTGCTGAAAAAATCAACATACCTTTAATTGCATATTAGAGCGTTCTGGTTCCCGGAAGTTTGATAGTACAAAAACAGGAACTTCTGATCTGAACAACAGACCAAATGAGCCCTATTAAAATTTCTTATACTTCTTTATTATTCAAATAAAACTTTCAACAAGGGTTCCACAGTGATCCCAAGTCCCCAAGCTTTCATTTGATACTAAAACAACCCAAATATTCCAACTATTGACAAAGATACAGCTATGCGTAGGAACTATTTTGTTTAAAATATGTACTACTTTCTTGTATGTTCTTTCTGACCGGGCCTGAATTAGTGGTTCTATACCTATAACAGCACCAAACTTGTTATATTGACTTCTGCTTGACTTAATTTCCTTCTATGATCTATTTCTAGCATAGAAAAACACATAAAGCTTTTGTCAAAACACTATATATATCACTGAATTTAAGCTCAAATTGAACTTGTAGTAACATATATATATGCCTTAAACAAAGAAAACTACATGTGGATACCTATAGTGACAGATATGACACTTTTTCAATTTTTACCAGTTCTGATTTGTTAATATCTACTCAAATAACAGTGTTCTTACCTATATGTCTTATTTTTATCAGAGATTCTTCCTTGAATATAAATACAGTGGTCCAAACATAAAATATAATTGAGAATTTTGTCCCCCCTTTTTTCTACATGTTGGAAAAGGAGAGAGATTTGGTAAAAAACCATACTTTTATGTATAAACATGGATCAACAAGAGCAATTTATGTATATCCAAGCTAGACAACTTGCTAAAATGGTTTTAAAATGCATTTCAAGTGAGATTTTGGAATTCCTATATAAGTATACACCAGTTTTCCTTGAAATAAATAATTCACTAAGAAACACAATAAAACATGAACACTCACTAGATAATTTGACCAAAAACAATATTTATACTATAAACTAGTCATAATATACAAGTTTCATTGGTTTCAGTGTTAGATAATCCAAAAATTAAAATTTCAGGCAAAATCTTAACTGTGTGCATGCTAAATGACCAAAAAAGGCTAAAATACCTTATTGTAGCAATTTGAGGGCTGTAATTTGACACTAACATAATTGTTACATAAACAAATTAATGTTACATGATTTCTGACAACAAATGTGACCAATTTTCACTGTAAAGGGTATGATTTCTAAAATAGTATTTCACATGCCTGTCAGTAATAGGTATAAAACCACTAATTCATAGCCCCATTGCTTTCTATGTTAAATTCTGCAATTTCAAGCATTAATGGCTACTTTATCTTAAGTTCAAATAAAGTGGCAGTTATTTCATGTCAAACCTGTACCTTATCCTGACTTGTGCTGAAAAAATCAACATACCTTTAATTGCATATTAGAGCGTTCTGGTTCCCAGAAGTTTGATAGTGCAAAAACAGGAACTTCTGATCTGAACAACAGACCAAATGAGCCCTCCTATTAAAATTTCTTATACTTCTTTATTATTCAAATAAAACTTTCAACAAGGGTTCTACAGTAATCCCAAGTCCCCAAGCTTTCATTTGATACTAAAACAACCCAAATATTTCAACTATTGACAAAGATACAGCTATGCATAGGAACTATTTTGTTTAAAATATGTACTACTTTCTTGTATGTTCTTTCCGACCAGGCCTGAATTAGTGGTTCTATACCTTAAAACCCATAGAAAACTTACCTGGACAATTCTCCTCACACTGTTCCTTCTTCTGTAGAAATAAAATATATAAAAATTAAAAAACATTAGTCTACAGAGCAATTGAAGGTCTTTCCACAAACTTTTTTTTCCTTTGTCTCGGCTGCTTTTAGTGTTAAGTGTAATGTTGACTGTTAAAAAAAGGGGCGAAAGATACCAGAGGGACATTCAAAGTGAATCCTTTTATCTTTATCATGTTTATAATTTAAAAAAAAAAAACTTTTCTATATGCTATTTTGCAAGCTTACAGATTAGCTTCTGTTCAAGTTTCATAACAGTTCAAGAACATTTACAAATTAAACATGTCAAAAAGTCCATCTATCAGTAAATTGAAAAATGACATATACCTTACAATTATTTCATACATTAAATATAGTGGCCCCATTACTTATTGTATCTGATAAATAGACCAAACCACAATAACTTAACATTAACCAATGATTGAACCATAAACATGAGGTCAAGGTCAAACAAAAACCTACCAGTCAGACATCTTCACCTTACACTTATTCCATACACCAAATTTAGTTGATCTATTGTTTATAGTAACTGAGATACCAATATCACCATGAGAACTTAACCTTGATCACTGACCCATTAAATGAGGTTGACGTAGAAAGAAGCCTGTATGACGGATATAAGAACTCTGCAAGGATCCCATATACTAAATATAGTTATCCTTTAAATCCCTTAAAGTGAAAATGTCATATGACGAAAACTAAACATTTTTATCAAGCAGTACCTGAACCATGAAAACCTCAAGGACAATAGACATATAACTAACAGAAATTTTGGAACATATGGCATCTGCATTGTTCTATTTCGTTTTATCTCTTGATGTGTAATTTGCCTTCTGACTATACCATATCATATTATATACCTTATCTTGGTTCCAAACAGTGTAGTTTCCTGCTCTATGTGTTAGGTTATGCTCGTCACAAACCCATTCATTTGTCTGCAAAGCTTCTTCTTCACTGATGAAGCATTTTAACTTGGAACATGAATATTCAATATGGAAAGGTAATTGTTGGCTGCGTTTTTCATGGATCGTGGACTGATAAAAGTCTGAAATTCTTTCCATTGTAATAACCAAGCATTCCTTAACTCCAGTGGCTATATCTGGTATTATAAGTCCAGCAGAGGTTTTATGGACTACATATAGAGTAATCTTGTTGCCTTCAACGCATACTACAATATCATGTGCCTTGTCAAATGATACTACAATAAATCCTGAAAAGAGGAGCTTTCTCCCTTCATACTGCTTTAAAGTCCACATGCTCAGACATGCACTGATCAGACGATTGGGCAAAGCTGGTGGTATGACAGTCCCTTTAAAAACAAACGCTAAACATATAGCTCTCTCTGGTGTACATTCTTTGTCCATGAAGCTGGTGGTATTTCTTTCTGTGACCATACAGGGAACAAAGAAGTTATCTACTGGTAACCGACTTCCTGTCGCTGTATCATACCTACGTTGCTCTGCAAGAATGTCTAAATGAATGAGGATGTTGAATATAAACTCCCTGTATGGAAGGATTGCCCGGAAGTCCTTTTGTTCCCAAATGTTGTACAGGTCTCCTCTGCATATTATCCCACTGTCTGACATTCTCCTGAAAATTTCCTGCATTCTTCTTTTCTTTGGCCAAAATAATTTGTCTGAAAAAGATAATAGACAGAGGTAAAATACTTTCTGGGGATATTAACATGAATTTTTTTTTCCATTTTCATTACTGATTGTTTCAAGTGATACATAATTCTACTGGACTTACAAATAATAATACTACCTGCATCCTGTTCACAAAATAAGTTTAAGCACATGAACTATAAATAACTACTTTATATACTGCAAATGTGCTATTTAGGCAGTCAAATTGCATTGATTGTATATTCATTTACATATACAATCTTTAACCATATATCGCCTTGTCTATTACATTGACAATGTGTTTCCGTTGAGTTTAATATATGACGGCAACACACAATACAGGCTCATAGAATGTGTATGTCATCCACCTCAAATTAAAACGAGTGCACACGCATAAAAATGAGGTCAAGGTCATATGAACCATGCCAGGCAAATATGTACACATTACAATCAACCTATGCATTAAATATAGTTGACCTATTGCTTATAGTATCTAAGAAACAAATGAAAACTTAACATTGACAAATGAACCAACAAAATGAGGTCAAGGTCAGATGATACCTGCCAGACAGACATATATACAGCTTACAATCCTTCTATACAAAAAATATAGTTGACCTATTGCTTATAGTTTAAGAAAAACAGACCAAAACACAAAAACTTAACACTGAGCAATGAACTGTGAAAATGAGATCAAGGTCAAATCAAACCCGATAGACTGACATGTGCATCATAAAATATTTCCATACACCAAATATAGTGGACCTATTGCATATAGTATTAGAAAAAAAGACAAAAACTCAAAAACTGAACTTTGACCACTGAACCATGGAAATGAGGTCAAGGTCAGATGACACCTGCCAGCTGGACATGTACACCTTACAATCATTCCATACACCAAATAAAATAGACCTATTGCATACAGTATAAGAAAAACAGACCAAAACACAAAAACTTAACTATAACCACTGAACCATGAAAATGAGGTCAAGGTCAAATGACACTTGCCAGTTGGACATGTACACCTTACAATCCTTCCATACACCAAATATACTAGACCTATTGCTTATAGTATCTGAGATATGGACTTGACCATGAAAACTTAACCTTGTTCACTGATCCATCAAATGAGGACGAGTTCAAGTGAAAACTATCTGACGGGCATGAAGACCTTGCAAGGTATGCACATACCAAATATAGTTATCCTTTTACTCATAATAAGAGAGAAATTAACATTACAAAAAATCTTAACTTTTTTCAAGTAGTCCAGAGTTCTCGACATCTTTTTTTGCCTGGTGGTCCTTGAAGAAAATATGCAGGTCCTCACTATCATTTCTATTGCAAATTACCAAAATTGTGTTGGTCCTTCCCAAAAATGTGGTGGTCAAATCCCTAGGACCACCACTTATCGAGAACTCTGGTAGTCACTGAACCATGAAAATGAGATCAAGGACAATGGACATGTGACAGATGGAAACTTCGTAACATAAGGCATCTTTATGCAAAGTATGAAGCATCCAGGTCTTCCACCTTCTAAAATATAAAGCTTTTAAGAAGTTAGTTAACGCCGCTGCCGCCGCTGGATTACTATCACTATGTCGAGCTTTCTGAGACAAAAGTCGCAAGCTCGACAAAAAGCTGGAATTTTCAGTTCGTACTAAATTCAGATAGTCACCTATAAACATTTGTATAACTTTTGCAAATCAACTTGAATTTTCATCAAAATCTACAGATATCTCAATTATATATTGATCTTACAGGAAGCCAGGTTGTTTGGTAGTTTGGTGTATTGCTGTGAACTTAAAGGATTAAATTAATAGGTAAAAAAAAGCTAAAATTTTCAGTTTGGACTAAATTCAGATTGATATCTATAAAATTAATCTTTAAATTTGACAGCAATAGAACAAACTACCAAATAACCTGTTTTCCACTTGTCCCGGCAAATAAGACAGCCGTTAATGTCAAACCATGCTAAGCCGCAATTCTACGACAGAAACAACATTGCAATCAGGATTATGTGGCTAATGGCTAAAAATTGTAATTCTGAGAAAAAAGCGATCAAATTATCCAATTTTTGGAAATTTCAAATTTCATTTGACCATATAATGGAATATCTTTTAAGTCATTTCAATATAGAAATGGAAAAGGACTTGCAAACATGACAATTTAAGGACTCTTTGCTTAAATCGAAATGTTTTATCTCAACAAAAACTGTTTCATGATTTAATATATCATTTAAAAGATTTCACATATGCTGGCATTATGCAAAGTATAATTTTTATTGGACTTCTCTCTTTTTACATTTATGATGTCACAAATGACAACAATGATAAAAATTAATGACATCTTGCCAAATAGGATTGTTACATAATTTTTCCATTATTAAGTACATGTCACAAACGATCTCATAACCTCCATAATAAGTATTGACATAAATACCGGTCACAAAGGATTTCATAACCTCCATAATAAGTATGGACATAAATACATGTCACAAAGGATCTCATAACCTCCATAATAAGTATTGATATAAATACCTGTCACAAAGGATCTCATAACCTCCATAATAAGTATTAACATAAATACCTGTCACAAAGGACCTCATAACCTCCATAATAAGTATTAACATAAATACCTGTCACAAAGGATCTCATAACCTCCACCATGAGTAGTGGGTTGATTATGACATAATCTCTGAGCTGCTGGGTATCAAAGTACATGATCTTCCCCAGCGAGTGCTGGAAATGAAGGAAATCATGAAGTTGTTCTAAATCCAGAACTGACACCTTGCTGATTGCATTCAATTCTTCAACTTCTTCCAATGACAGGATTTCTTTTCCTGCAGCAACCAACTCTGCTATCTCCAGTTCAAGGGGGACACAAGCGTTTGGCATCTTTTCCCCCCAACACGGATGATCGAAAGTAAGCTCTGTGATGGCTTTCTTCAGGGCTTCAATTTCTAGATCATCTTTATCAGTTGCATTGACAAATATTTGTTTGTCAAGAACAAGATGATTTCGTCCCTCATGGTCCTTAAACAAGTCCTCTACTTCACTGTACAGTAGTGCACGTCTGGTTTCCACATCCTCCTGCAAAAAAACAAACTAAATGTTAAAATGACGAAATAATCATTGCATGGAATGGCACACCATAATTCTCATCCAAATTCAGTTAGTTCATTCTGAGTACAGCTTACCATGACTACAGACATAAATACTGAGCTACTAAAGCTCTTATTTTTTTTATATAAGACGATTTTTTCCCTTCTTAAACTTTATTTTTAGTCTTCTTATTTTAATCATGACCTATGTTACCTATCTTACCACTTTGTTTCATTAACACAGTCATTGTTGTATTTGGTAAGCAAAGCTTTAACATTAAACTTGTTATATTGTAAATTATATTTAAGTAAAAACATAGAGTATCTGTAGGTAAAATTGGAATAACATGAACAATCACGTGTGAATAAAATTGAGAATGGAAATGGGGAATGTGTCAAAGAGACAACAACCCGACCATAGAACAGACAACAGCAGAAGGTCACCAACAGGTCTTCAATGCAGCGAGAAATTCCCGCACCCGGAGCCGTTGTTCAGCTGGCCCCTAAACAAATATATATACTAGTTCAGTGATAATGAACGCCATACTAAACTCCAAATTGTACACAAGAAACTAAAATTAAAAATAATACAAGACTAACAAAGGCTAGAGGCTCCTGACTTGGGACAGGCGCAAAAATGCGGCGGGGTTAAACATGTTTATGAGATCTCAACCCTCCCCCTATACCTCTAGCTAATGTAGAAAAGTAAACGCATAACAATACGCACATTAAAATTCAATTAAAGAGAAGTCCGAGTCTGAAATCAGAAGATGTAACCAAAGAAAATAAACAAAATGACAATAATACATAAATAACAACAGACTACTAGCAGTTAACTGACATGCCAGTTCCAGACTTCAATTAAACTGATTGAAAGATTATGTCTTCATCATATGAATATCAGGCACAATCCTTCCCGTTAGGGGTTTAGTATCATACCATCATAACATATATGAGAAGAACATAACCCGTGTCATGCCAACAACTGGTTTATAAATAAATGTGTTTAGTGCCGATGCAAAGACCCTATAAGTGAATCAATATTAACGCCAAAATATGCAATCTTTAATGACCTGACAACAGTATCGTAACTATATCCCTTCTTAATAAGTCTATTTAAAGGTTTTGTTAGCTTCAGAGGTGAATACTGACATTTTTGTGCTTTATAAAGAATATTTCCATAAAAAATTGGATTTGAAATACCTGAACGTATAAGAAGTGTGCATGTTGAGCTATATTTACGAATGATGTCCATTTAATGTATATATATATATATGTATGACTACAATATACTTTTTAGTATTCAGTTTTTGAAACGCGACAGGTTGTTGTTAAAAAAATGGTGGACATCATACTTTTTTTATTTCTTTTTAAATGAATACGAAACAACAAATAATACAATTATCATTCACTATTGTAAGTGCTTATATAAGACCGTTGATACCTTATATAATCAGGACATCTTCCTCTTAATTATAATGATGAGGTATGATTGCCAATGAGACAAACATCCACCAAAGTTCATATGAAGCGGATGTAAGTAATCATAAGCAGCCAAACCGCTTTTTAAAAATGGGAAAACCCCCTACTTTATAAAAAAAAATATGAAACAATATAAAACTTTGTTTTTGATACATGTTAGGTCCGAGGACACAGTTATCGTCCTTTGATTTTCGTTGTCTATAGAGTCCAAAGTGAAGACAGTGTATAACCTGAAATTTAAAAAAAAAAAAAAAACATTTAACCACAGACTGAACCTAAATGTTGACACCACCGCCAACAGAATCTAGGATCGCTGTCTCGCTAAATTTCGCAGACGAGACAAAATTATGGCAAGACTTGTACATGTCAGAGCACTAACAAGAATAACAGACGCCGCTATTTCCATGTCCCCCACAACGTGTCGGGACAAATATTGTATATAGTTATCATGTATTTCTTGTGGTGATAGTCTCTGAGTCTCTGATTGTGAGATTTTGTCTACTCAAAATATAGGGATACATTTTTTTTTAAATAATTTCAAAAGCAATAAATTCATAAGATACATAATGTCATTAAGCGAAATAATGGTAAGGTTGATATGAGTTATCTGTTCAAAAGAATTGCTTTATATTAAAATAAGGAGATGTAAGTACGGCATACAACCGTAAGAAAAACCCATAGAGTATAGGCGGATATAAAAACCTCCCCCCCCCCCAACATAAAAATGCGTAAAAATTCAAAGGAGATCATTAACATGAAGCTTAATACCAAATCAAAATTTCATGGAACAAATGGAAACATGGACAGATGTAAAGAAGTCTACCACCCCTTTTGACATATGCAAATTACTTTATACTATTGATAAATATCTAGATCTCCTAAGGAATGCCCTGTATAAAACACCTGTTTATATCTTTTTTACTTACCACTGGTACCTTGTACTTATGTGTGGTAACAAACAAGATCTTAGGAATGCCTGTATAAAAGTCCAATTTATTTATTTTATTTTCACTTACCACTGGTACCTTGTCCTTATGGGATGCAACAAACAAGATCTTAGGGATGCCTGTTTAAAAGACCTATCTAGATATTTTACACTTACCACTGGTACCTTGTCCTTATGGGATGCAACAAACAAGATCTTAGGGATGCCTGTTTAAAAGACCTATCTAGATATTTTACACTTACCACTGGTACCTTGTCTTTATGGGTTGCAACAAACAAGATCTTAGGGATGCCAGCATACACCACTTTACAATAGGTTAGGATTGAGTTTACCCAGTGCAGTAAGAAGACTGAAAGTAGAATAAAACTAAAATATAACTTGTGATATGAGTTGTAATGCATCTCAATCATATTTTAATTCCTGTTACCTAATAACGTAAATGGTTTTATTTGTAAGATTTGATCAGTTTTGAAAAAACAGAAGCAATCAAAAACTAGAAGTTCAATAATAGAATACAAACACCATGTTCCAAAATAAAAAAGAACAACAAGACAAACCAGCAGTCAACAAGCACTTCACAGAAAATTATAGATTAACAAGATTACCACTAAAACAGGGTGTGGACTTGTGTTCTCCTGTGTGGATGGTTAGCATGTCCAGATATTGGCACCAATCCTTTTTCTTATTACATTGATATGTCTCATGTAAATGAACAAAGATGTGAAGTACATGTAGATTCGTATTTTTTAAACTGCTAACAATCTCCGTAAAAAGTGAAAACATTAAAAATACTGTAGTCTGCCTTCAAGTAATATGATATTTTAAAGCATTTTCATATGTATGGACAAACATGACAAAGTTCAGTAATATAGATGTTACAATTTTAATTAACATAAATTACCTGCTGGGGTTGGTGTCATGTGCTGCCCTGGAAAACACAGTACATCAGGGACTTCTTCATTCAATCTTTTACTTCCATCAAAAACTACTAGAAACAAAGCTCTGAAAGTCATGAATGTCTGGTGTGTTGTGTAATAGACATACTGTCCACCAAAGTCCCAGAAGATGAGTCTTCCAACTTTCATCTTATATTTCCCACTTTTGAGGACTTTCTCCATTCTCTTTCTTATTTCCTTTTTGGTCATTTTGGTTGTCATTTTCTTCTTCATTTGCTGTTTTTTAGACTCACCAGAGGACATCTGTGGTGACAAAGATTGGGCTGCTGGTGGCTGTGTAGAGGGTTCACCCGAGAGGTTCACAGGGGAAGCTGTTGACTTGGTAGCTTCTGACTTCTGAGAATGAGTATCTTCTTTATTTTGACTATCAACAGGTTTGGCATCAGATTCATGTTTTCCTGGTGTTTTTGTTTGTTTACTTTCATCTTCTTCTACGGAGGTCATTAACACTTTATTGTATACAACATCCAAGGCATTGTAAGTTGCTGTATAAATAAACAACAAATAACTGATGTTATCTATTATATATATATAAATATTTATGCAAAATAGATAAACTTTGGTATGAATAGCTAAGTTAATATGGACATCCACTTTATTTGAACTTTTGAACTCTCCCCGAACACTGTGGATAGTTGTCTCATTGGCAATCATACCTCATCTCCTAAGCCTTATTTTTTATATTAAAATGATACACAATTTAAATTTAATCAATACAGGGATGACTAAGTCTACAACATTACAATATGTCAATATTATTGTTCACTCTGGAACAAAATAAATGCTGCTTGCAGTTTCTTTTCATATCTTTTGTAGAAATAACGACTAGCATGACCAAAACAATAAGACTGACACTAAATTACCTACTTATTAAATAAAGCCCCATTATTAACCTTATCACTATTCACCTTCTAGGGTTTGTCCAAAATAAAAAAAACATAATCAATTTTAGTTGTCAAATAATTTTCTACTAAATTAGTTGCTAAATAGGCAACCTATTTCTCTGAAATGAATAATTCAACAAATCTAGACAAAAAAAAATCCCTGCAAAGCACACTACTAAGTAAGGCTTCAAAATGCTAAACAAAAATGCATGAACAGTTAGACGGCAAACGATTTTAATGGCTTCTAAGATCAAGACATTGGTCACGTGACAAAAAGTCAGAGTTTACGGTTTTTTGGTAAATGTACATGCCTCGTGGTTTTTTGACTCGTATCGTCTTATTTGTACTCGTACATTAATAAAAATCAAAGTGTTTAAATCTTGAGTGAATAAGCTTCATCAATCTTTATAATTATAACTAAAAAGTGTTGTTAAAGTATTCTAAATTGACGAGTGAAGTGAAAAAAAATTTCTGAAAATTTGCGTAGGTCCACGGAAAATCCCTAATTATTCCTTAAATAGGTATGGTAACGTGTTAAGGGGTATAATATATGAAGCAAAACCATTTTTTACATTAGATTTTATTTATAATCGATCCTAAATTTACTGGATACGAAATTGTGTCAGCTTATTCGTTTTGAAGTGGAGATCAAAGGGAGATAACTCCATACACGCATCATAGGAAATTGCAAGTTCACAACAGTAAATTCAAGTAAAATTAACGATTGTAGTTATATTTTGACACTTTCTTGAATAACTATTCCATATTTCATGTTCCTTTACTCTTGTAACATTAAAATAGTCATAGAATGGTTGAATATGGCATTTTTTCAAGTAATTACAGGTTTTTGAAAACTTCCAAAGAAGAAAATTATAGATAACTGACTTTTCTCTGAAACTTGGACTTATAAATTGCTCCCAAACACCCTTTTGATAGATGGAATGATAAAAGTCTTTGTTTTACTTTCTTTGTATCAATATTCTTAGAAAGCATATATGAAAATAAACTCAATATTTGTACATGTAGGATCTGAGAGAAAACTTGAGAATTGTAATGATGTCTTGTGTGTATTATCGCAAAATCAGACTTCATTTGACAATGTGGAAGTAGAAAAACATCTTGGTATCCATATTGATAAAAATCTATCATGGTCAATTCATATAGATAAAGTATGTGAGATTTTTTCAAGCAGATTATACCTGCTAAATAGATTAAAACGATACTTGCCTCGCAAAGGTCTTATCCTTTTTTACAACAGTTATATAAATGTATTACCAATAATTGATTATTGTTGCACCATATGGGGTTTTACCACAAACTGCAACATTGAGCGGATTCATAAGCTGTAAAAGCGCACAGCAAGATTAATTTTGAATAAACCTTTTGATTATCCATCAATATCAATGTTTAAAGAACTTTATTGGATGACCATTTTTACACGGATAAAATATTTTCAAGCCATTTTAATGTTTAAATGTATGAATGGACTAGCGCCAGATTATCTTACTAGTAAATTTACTGCGTGCAGTGATCTATATAGTTATTCTCTTAGGTCAACAACATCTGGACATCTTCATTTACCAAGGCCAAAGTCTGAATACTTCAAAAAGACTTTTCAATATTCTGGTCTAATTATTTGGAATAGTTTGCCAAATGATATAAAGGATTCAAGTCATATATAGAAAGCTTTAAGGTGAAATGTGCTAATCTTTTTTTCACAAAACAAAATGAGTACACAAACTTTTTTTTTTTCTTAGGACATTCTTGCCATGCTAGTTCTAACAGTCTGTTTTCATGCTTGTGTATATAGATTTGTAATTGTGTACATCTCTATTGATTATTGATTATAGAACAGTTTTTAAATATAAATTTCACTCTTAAATTAGACTTCAATTAATTTAATTTAGTTACTATACTATATATAAAAATATTAATTTTCGCGAACCATTTAGGTCACGGAAATTCCAAAATATGGCATCAGTAAGGAGAGTTGTACAAATAATGTGAACTAATACACAGAACCCCGATCCAATTTATCTTTTGCTAAAATTATTCATCATTTTCTGTTTTCTATGTACTAACAACATTCTATTTTTCTATAATTTTGATTAAAATATTCTAAAACCTGCAGTTAAAATAGGTCACTTGCCCCAAATAAACATTCCCCTCTGATTGGTTGAACTACTGTGGCCTCGATGTAAAGCAACGCAAGCCTCGATGCAAAGAACACGCTTCCCAAAAGTAAGGAGAGTTTGTCAAATAATATGAATACACAGAACCCCGATCCAATTCATCTTTTGCTAAAAGTGTTTATCATTTTCTGTTTTGTATCTACTAACAACATTTCACATTTCTATAATTCCGTTTTAAATATGCCAAAACCTGCAGTAGAAATAGAGGTATGTCCCAACTTAACATTCCCCGATTGGTTGAACTGCTGTGGCCTCGATGTAAAGCAACGCAAGCCTCGATGCAAAGTACACACAAATTTTCCGTTAATACACAAAAATTTCCGTTAATATGTTGAACTTCGACCGCTGGATTCAACCAATTCACAAACAGAGATGTTCTTGCGCTCAAATGTAATTCTAAGTGAAGTATATTGGTAAAGTAAAATTCTAATCTTTTACAGAAATATATACACATTTTATCATTAATATTTTGTCATGCTTTTGTATATTAACTTTTATTTCCTCTGAGCTATAGTTAAATTTAATGCTATACAAATTTTGTTACGTCTAGCAATAGGAGTAAGAATATTTCGTGCCAAAACAAGAGAATAACCTGCAATATTAAACTATTTTATCATGTTTTTGACATTTCCAATAGAAAAAAGCCTTTGGTATCAGCAATTGTGGTAAGTATTACTTATTATTGTTAAGGTTCTCCAGATCTGGCTCTCTTGATCTTCTTGACGGTCAATTTAATCCCATTTATCAATTATTCCCGATGTCACTTTTTTTTGACAGAAATGTCAACCCAGTCGATTTGTGTCATGGGTGAAAATCTGATCTACTAGTATTTGATGAAATAATTTCTTCATTAACTGTACATGCAATATTTTTGTTAACAAACCCTTTGCATGTCTGCAAGGTAAATGGGTTATGTATGTGTTAATTGTGTAATTTCAGTGTAGTTTGTGTCGTCAGTGCAGTGCGTGATCACGTGATATTATTATTTGGAAACAAACGGGCCCGCGATGTAACACATGTCGGAATTATCCATACAAGGTGCAATCAATCTTATATTTCACTATTTGATGATATTTCTGTGAGTTTTAGTAGGTGATTCAGAACAGAAGTCATAGATTCATAGTATGATACTAGTGTTAGTGTTCCAGGGTTGCATTCTATATCCAGAGTTGGATTTAGGGGGGGGGGGGGGCAGGGGTTTGATTATATAGGGAATCACTGAAGCATGATGAAAATTTCTGTATCCGCAACTGATATCGTAGCAGCTTCATAGGGCTACGTAGATTTTTGACTACTGAACGTGTAGCTAGTGTAGCTAGTCTAGCTGCTAAATAGATAAAGTCATGATAGCAGCTAGGCTTAGTAGTAAAAAATATATGTAGCAGCTGCTACTAAGTTGAATGCAACCCTGTTTAATAGTTAAATACATGTACACGTAGCTGTGATTTCATTTTATATGAAACTTCTTTGCCTTTGAAAACAGAGAATATAATCTTTTTGTTTTCAGAAATTTCCGTTGAGCATTACAATTTGTATTGTATTTAGGTGCTATACATGTTGACCTTTGTCTTTGAGAGCGGTTAGTAACAATCCCGGTTCTTAGAAATGTAGACAATGGACACACATGTGAACCATGACGATATGGGTCACTGACATTTTTCTCTGATTTTAATATCTGAATTATCTGTATTTGCAATATCTTTGTATTTCATGTGTAATCATGAACAGATCTTCAATTTGTTCAAGTTAATACACAATAAATTGCTATTTAGGGAGCAACCATTTAATTTTTAGGGGGGGGGGGAGGGGCTAGGATGAAAAATTTTGTCCTGCATTTTATTTTAGTTGTAATCTCTGTCCTTCCTTTTTATTTTTCACTCTATTCGGTCCTGCCTTTTTTTCATTAGTTTATCCTGACTCTTTTTACATAAATTGTCATCCTGCTTTTTTTTTTGCCAAGTTACTCATCCTGCCTTTTTCTTTTACTTAAAACTCCTGTCCTGCCTTTTTTTTCAAATTTCATTCTTGCCCCCCCCCCCATAAATATCAAATGGTAGCTCCCTTATGATGATGATGAAGAATTTGTATGCTCACATAAAGATGGCGGAATGAATCTTTATATCATTGTATAATCTAACACGATACATTATTATTTGTAAACAAATGTCGAAACAAACACATGTCGGTAATTTCGATATCATTCTAAATTTTGGATTATTTTTACAGATTTTGCAAAATATACTGGATTCCACCTATTTGTCTAACCAAATTTTTTTCTTGAACTAAAATGCCCATGAAACTTATTCAATAGACAATACATTATCATCATCCATATATATACATGTACGTAAAATAGCTATACTATAGTCTGCAAGAAGCAACAAATTGAAAATATGATTTCAACAAACATGTTCAATACTTGAAAAAAAAAATACATGCAGTGAAATTTTTTGGTTAAAATACATATATATGGTTGCATATAATTTCTGTAATGCTTTTTCCCTTCATATTAGTAATACAAAATGTACTAGTCGGAGATTACTCTTACTTCCCAGGCCACTGCCCAAGCTTGTCTGGCAAAACAGCCAATGTACATGTATGACAGTATGTATACTATAAACTACATGTATTTTTAAAATGCACATGGTGTGGTCCAAAGTAAGGAGTAATATGTTTTTAACACTCAGAAACGAGATGTTGATCCCCCAAACCTGTCCTTTTTATAATTATGAATACTAAAATGCTCCATATGAAGCCAAAATGTCTTGCTTTTTAGTTTTATGAATGCTTAGTCATGTCCACTGTTTTAAATTGTGATTTGTAAATTCACTAACGAATTGACTTATTTTTTGGCAGTCACCATTACACATTAATAGTGACAGCTGCAAGTGTAGGTGAGAAACCCTTTCCTTATATATAAATAGGCCTCTTTAGAGTATGCTGGAAAATTTAGACGCCTTTATGAAGTCATTTACTGGATAGAGGGGACCGCCTGTATCACTGCACTATTAAAATCATCAAGTGTCTTTGTGATCATCAAGATAAACTAGAAATAATGTTTGTTCTAAAAGGTTCTTAATAACATTTCTCTAATGACAGAAGTGCTGATTATCAATTATTAGAATTTAATTCACCAAAATGATTCGTGTAATAAAGCTTTTTTATGCCCCTGCCATAGCAGAGGGGGCATTAAGTTTTACCCTTGTCTGTCTGTACGCACATGTATGTACGTCCCAAAAACTGGTTTCTGTTCTCTAACTTAACTTAAGTTTGCCTCAACCAAAATATTATCAAACTTTAATATACACAATGCTTATTACCACAAAACACAGATCAAGTTTGAATTTTGGTGGCGTCACTTTTACCGTTCTAGACTTATGCCCCTTTACAAATTGAAAAATTGCTAAATTTTTTGTTTCCGTTCTCTAACATTAGTTTGCCTCAACCTAATGTTATCAAACTTATACACAATGCTTATTACCACAAAACACAGACCAAGTTTTAATTTTGATTGCGTCACTTTAACTGATCAAGTGCTGCCCCTTTATAAATGGAAAAATTGCAAAATTTTTAGGTTCCATTCTCTAACTGAGCTTGCCTCATACAAATGTTATCAAACTTTACACAATGCTTATTACCACAAAATACAGATCAATTTAGAATTTTGGTAGCATCACTCTATCCGTTCTAGAGTTATGTCCCTTTATAAATGGAAAAATTACAAATTTTTAGTTTCCGTCCTCTAACTTAAGTTATCCTAAACCAAATGTTATCAAACTTATACACAATGCTTATTACCACAAAACACAGATCAAGTTTTAATTTTGATGGCGTCACTTTAACTGATCTAGAGTTCTGCCCCTTTATAAATGGAAAAATTGCAAAATTTTTAGTTTCTGTTCTCTAACCTAAGTTAGCCTCAACCAAATGTTATCAAACTTATACATAATGCTTATTTCCACAAAATACAGATCATGTTGGAATTTTGGTGGAGTCACTGTAACCATTCTCGAGTTATGCCCCTTTATAAATGGAAAGAAAATGCAAAATTTTTAGTTTTAGTTCTGTAACTTAAGATTGCCCCAAACATTATGAAACCTTTATACAATACTTATAACCACAAAACTTAGATCTGACATGTACAAATTTGGGTAGCGTCACTTTTATCGTTCTGAAGTTATGTTCCTTTATAATGTTGTATGCAGCGGGGGCATCATCTGTGTCCATGGGGACACATTCTACATTTATTTTTTTAAAGTAGGTCTGGCTAAAAATTGAAAGGACTGGCAAAACTGTCTTACAGGATCCAATGTTCACAAGTACTACTTTAAAATCTAAAAACTTTTGAGAGAAAATACAAAACTGGCTGATCAGTTAAAACAAACGAGACTCAAATTAAAAGAACAGTTGCTCATCAAGGTATAAACCAAATAAAACAGCTATCACATATACATATACCGGTATATATATATAGAAAGAAACATATTTGAATCATGGATTGACATCTTGGTTTGATATAACTTCATTATACATTTTTTGTAACATGCCTAAATTCAATATATTGATGATGAAAAAACTCAATACATTAAAGAGTTTGGTGGTGAAAAACCCAATTTGATATTTGCTTGAAGGGTGAATTGGAGTTAATAATGCAATTGAAAAAAACTTTAATTGGTAAAAACCCCAATTTGTGAATTCTTGCTCTGTTATATATGCTAAATCTGATTAGTTCAGTTTGTGGGGAACCAGTACTGGTAAATCAATAATATGTGGTGTGTTGTACATGTATCAGAATAACAATATCTCATCAATGGGGATTAGTTGGTCAACCACCTTAGTCATGGTTGCCATGATCTATTGGCATGTTACAGCTTAAAATTAAAAGGCCAAACCTCAGAAAATAACAATAAGGCCTATTAATATTCTTGTGTAAGAATTTCATCCTTCATTTAAATAAATGCCACAGGATTATTATTAATTTACATGTAAAACAATTCTAGAGGTCAATACACAATCTCAAGCAATAGACAAAATACAAAACTAAAAGTACAGCCGATTGCTGAAATGTATTATTACATGTATTTGCAAGACTTAAAATATTATATTGTTCACAACTTTTTTTGGGTTCAACCTAACATTTTATAAAACTTGGATTTCATTGTGGCTAGCTATATATATAGTCTAAAAAAACATCTGACAATTACAAAAGCCAATACTATTGTGACATTAATTTGAGAACAACAAAAAAGATGTATATTTTAGGGATATATAATTGGTCATACAATAACATGTAGATTTGAAATTTTATTTTTATTGTGATGTCAGATTTGAATGTCGACTTCAGGAATGGGGGTTGGTTAAAGACTGGATGTCAATCAGAGTCTTATATATGTATATAACAGGGATTGAAGTTAAAATTTTGGCATGGTAGCCCACAGCTTTAATTTTGTAGCCCACATATATAGTCCTATACAAGAAAAGCAGAAATTTAAAAGCAATTATCTGTAAAGACCAAAATTAGCTGGAAATGCATGGTTACGGATTTTTTAAATTTAGACATAAATTTGAAGGACCTCCTAATATATATTGAAAAACATAACTTTGATTTATTAAAATGCTTTGGTTACCATGGAAACGGCATGCACATTTTCCATACTCCACATTTCTTATGAAAATATAGCAAAAATATACAAAGACGTATTATGATGCTTTCCCTGCAAAATAAATCTCCATTACTGTTTCCATACAACAGAGTGATATTCAAATAATTAAAAAATTAGAAGAAAGATAACTTTATGTAGATAAAAATAAGTTTGCTGTCCCATCAAACTTAGTAATATGGCCTGGATTCGGTCCAGCTCACCTGTTTTTGAACACAAAAAAAATAATTTTGTCAAAATCAGAAGAATTAATTCTTTTACCCATTTTGAAGAAAAAATATAAAACTACATATTTCAAAACAAAAATTGGTGGGGTTTATGCTTATTTAGAAACATTAGCCTATTGAACTCCCCCTTTTTTCCTCATTTTAAACAAGAGTTATTTCCCCTTGCAGAACTCTTCAGTGTAAAAATTAATAAGGAGTGTGTGAGTGGCAGACCACAGACACAATATTAATCTGAACACTATTTTTTATGTTTACTTTATGTTTCAGGACATTTTATAAAATTTCTAAAGAGATAGTTTATTTTATTTTATCACTTTTTTCAGTTATTACCTAATGACTAATGTGTCAGCCTGGAAGTTCAATAAGGCCAAGCACCATACGAATGATGTTGGATGTGGTATGCCAGTTGTACAGGAGAAAAAATCTAGGAACAGGGTAGATAATGAAAAACTGGAACATTTTATTGATTACATACTGTCATCTAACATTGTAAAGGATTTGCCTTATGGTACAAAGACCATGAAACTTTCTTCAGGAGAGATTGTTGAAGTCCCAAACCTCATAAGAAGCTTAGCACCATCCTCACTGATTAGCCAGTACATACAATATTGTGAAACAGAAGATATCGAACCATTAGGTATAATAGAATATTAACTGTTACAATTGGTCTTAGCTCACCTGGTAAAAATTATTATTTGAACTTCTACATGTAAAAAAAATATATTGTGGCTGTAATGTAATACTAGGTGTATACCTCTTCAAATGAATGCAAGACAATATGAAGAGAGAATCATGCATGGTGATTACCCCTGAAAATTTAATAATTTAGAGTTTGCATATTTTTCTTTGAAATTTGCAAATGTTTCAATTTTACTAATCAGAGATATAAAGACGCAAGATCTGAATTAAGTTGTACCTATATATAATAACCACATGAACATTAATTTTATCTTCCTCCCACTTAAAATTGGATCTTAAAGATTCAAAATTTACACTTCATATTACAGGTACCTCAACATTATACAAGATTTTAAATGATTGTTTTGCATCTGTACGAAAATGTATTGAGGGATTAGACTACTATGTGGCTGAAGGGGGAAGATCTTTCCTAGACCTGGAAAACATTATAGAAAAATTAGAGATCACTGATGAGAGAAAGAAAGAGATGATTTCATGTCTTCTTAGTGGTAAAAGCTATCTAAAGTCAGACTTTAAGGTAATATATATAGAGTATGCAGATATAAACCAGAATATTTTGAACAATGATATTGGAAATTTGTTAAAATAAAAAAACCTTGAATGGCTAATAAATCCAAACATGGGCAATATGTTCCTCATAACTTCATATTAAAATAAGATTTATTTATGGCAAGCCATTGTACTTTTTATTCTAACTTTAAGATATATCATATGATATGTAAGATATATCATATAATATGTAAGATATCTCATATAATATGTAAGATATCTCATATGATTTATAAGATATCTCATATAACATTTATATATTTCAATTATTATAGTTTTTATGAGATATATTGTACTAACTTTATAAAATATATCATATATACTTTATAAGATATCAAGATATCTTCTAAATACTTTTTATATAAGAAAACTTATTAATATTTTTTATGTAGCATATCTTATATAGTTTATAAGCTATCTCTTAGGGATAGTTTATTAGATATCTCATGTAATTTGTAAGATATTAAGAAAATTAACCATCCAACAATAAAATAGAGCTTTAGAGGAAATATGTTCAAAAGTAGCAACCAAACATAAATAATCTTTACAAGATCAAGTATTAATTTTATGCCATCAGCCATCAAACACAAATGTAACATAGGACACTAGCATTCAAATAATGTTTGTTAATATACATGATATATGTTTTACCTTCAAAAATTGTCAAATATTGACTTTAATTACAAGAACAAATTATTTTGATAGGTTCATATAGAGGCTGAATCAAATATAGCAGATCATTGCAGACTTTTTGCATTGAGTGAAGGTGAAGTGCAGTATGGTCACAGTCATACAGAAATTTGTCTGCAATGCAGAAATCTGGATGAAATCATGAATGAAATTTCCACAATTGTTCAGAATGTCAACTGGGAGAACAAAGATGCAGTACTTTTTCAGGTACTATACATGTTTTTTTCTACTATAAAAGAATTATAACATGATTGCATCATTATGTATTTATGATTTAGAATGTTCTTGAGGCATGTTCTTAGTACATGTATCCAGGATTCAACTCCCTTTTTGACCATTAGTCAAGTAGGTTATCATTATGCCATTTCATTGAGAGAGGTTTTCCTTTTTTTAAATATTTTTGTCTGATGAATGCAATATCTGTGTTTATAATCATTTTTTTTAGTCCCCTACTGACGAAGTCGAAGGGGACTTTAGGTTTGCACTCTGTCCGTATGTCTGTCCGTCCGTCTGTCCATCCGTCAGTCTGGCAAATCAGTTTTCCAGACTTTTTTCTTCATGCTTCAAGATATTGATTTGATATTTGGTGTATTGTTTTATCATGACAAGTTACAGGTCAAGTTCAATTTTCACGATTTTAGCTTTTCTCCTTGTTCAGTTTAAGCCCTTTCCCTAGAAATAAATTTTTGATGAAATACTTATTTATTACTAGATTTCTGTTCAAAGGGAAATAACTCATTTTTTAACTTTACCTAGAATTAAATTTTTTATGAAATACTTATTAATTACAAGATTTCTGTTTAAAGGGAAATAACTAATTTTTAAAAAGAATTGTAATAGACATTGTATTAAGATAAATGACATTTTGGATTTTTTTTTTTTTTTTTTTAGTAAATTGTTTGAACAATGTTGAAGAATTTAGTGGTAGGTTTGTTTGTTATTTTATGTAGTTTACACCTTGACAAGTTATAGATGATCAAGTTAGAATTTCATTCCATTACAATTTAATTTACAATCAATTTTTAACCGGTAGGGGACTATGTATTGCCATGCAATACTCAAAGAATGCTTGTTTAAATTGATATTTGATTACAAGTGGAATATGCTTCTAATAGGTTGAGTCAGCTGTTGATAGCATTACAGACTGGAAAGCCCATATAATGAGATCAAGAAACCAAGAGGATGCAATGTTAGATCGTGTACGAGAATTGAAAGATGGACAAGTATTAATGACCTGTGATTGGGCAATGAAGATGTTGCCAAGAAAATATAGGGAGGGCCAAACCGACTGGTTTGCAAAGAGAGGCATGAACTGGCACATTTCCGTGTCAGTTTTTAAAGAACAGGGATGCATCAAAAACTTCACACATGTGCATATATTTTCAGCTCAGGTATGAATTCTATATTTCGACTTGCTTGAATAACATTTTATTCACTCATCAATTATTTATGTTACTTTAAGATATATTGTGATAAGAACATGTTGTCACTGCATATATCAAACTATGTAGTAAATGTGCATAAAACAACACGTAAACTCACATACAGTGAAACAAGAACAAAAAAATGCAATGCAACAGCACTTTTATTTTTTTTCTGGATCAGGTTTTAACCTTGAGGCCTTCAACAAAAAGAAACAAAAAGAAAGCACCAACAGCAAACAGTAGCTCTACATCTATGCCTTTTTTACTCACAGATGCAGGGCTATTGACAAATTACAGAATAACTAATAAGATATGTTTACAAACTCTTTTGTCAATTACAGGGCAATTGTGCTACAACAATGACAAGAGAAATTTGTAGGAAATAATTGTCAGGAAGTAGAAAGAATTTACATGTATGTGCACAAGTGTTGCAAAGAAAAACAGAAAAAAAGTATGAAAACCAACATTTTTCGCATATTTTTTGTTTCAAATTTAAGTTTAGAAATACTTGTAAAACTAGCTATTTGTCTTATTTAGTTAACTTTTGGTTATTCAGATATCTCAAGATTCCCCTATAACATCATCTTTGATCAAAGATACTGTTGCTGATCTTCATACCTTGATACCAGATATTCAAGAAATCCACATTTATTCAGACAATGCAGGATGCTATAAAAACACATTAATGATGGCTTCACTCAGAAGAGATGTTGGCAATAACCTCAAATCGTACAACTTTTCAGAAGCTCAAGATGGCAAAGGTATGAGCTGCAGCATTTATTATATACACATGACAAAAAATGCATATAATTGAAATTCAATTCTTCTTGAATAATTGAGAGGTCTTTCCCCTCCGAAACATGTTTAATTTGTTTATTGATTGATTGATTGATTAGTTGGTTGGTTGATTGGTTTATTAATTGGTTGGTTGATTGGTTTGTTGATTAATTAAACACGTGGGAAAGGGTCTATTGAAACAAGCGAAAAAGAAACAAATGAGATCTTGGACCCCGTATTAAACACACGAGACAGAAACATGCATGCAATGATTGATTCAGAGCTCCAGATAAGAATTCACAAATTGGGGTTTTTACCCACCATTTTTTTATGTAATTGGGTGATAAAGTTTTTTAATTGCATTATCAATTCCAATTCACCCCTCAAGCAAATATCAAATTGGGTTTTTCACCACCAAGCTCCTTAATGTATTGGGTTTTTTCATCAACACAATATTGAATATTTAGGCATGTTATAATCACATTATATCAACCCCAGATGTGTTTCTTTCTTTGTAGAATATGTGCTAGCCGTTTCATTTGGTTTATTCACTGACGAGCAATTGTACATTTAATTTGTGTCCCGTTTTAAACGTTCTGTCAGTTTTGTATTTTCTCAAAACTTATGTAAACTGCAGCTGGTGTCACTAGTTGGACAGGAACTAATTGCCTTTCTAGATCCCATATGATCACCCTACAGTTTAATTATAGTTGGGGTAGGTGTGGCTAAGTGTTTAGATTTTTGTGTAATATATGTGAAATTTAGGTGCTGTAAGAAAGTTTTGCCAGTCCTTTCACCTATTTGCCAGATCTACTTTTTAATAAAAATAAAAAGTAGTTTCCAGATTTCAGATATACCCCCAAAACCTTGAGGTTTATAGGGTGGTTTATAATGACGGAGACCACATTCAACTTAAATTTACAAATAATTCTGCAACATCAAGTAAATAAATGACAATGTTATACTGCACTTGCCAATAAGACAACTATCTTAAGCATCTAGAACAATTAGACCAAAACAAAGAAAGTGTCAAGCTGCATTGACGTAAAAAACGGATATGTGTATTCACTCATCAACTAAAATGAAAAAAGTAATATATAAACTGTTTTCCTTTCATTCAATTTACATAAATCTGGGTTAAGTTGTCCCTTATCAGAACTTTTGGTTTCCGATGCTTTCAAACTACATATCATGTCATATAAGGGAGCTACCATTTGATTTTTATGGGGGGGGGGGGCTAGGATGAAAAATTTTGTCCTGCATTTTTTTTTAGTTGTAATCTCTGTCCTGCCTTTTTATTTTTCACTCTAATCGGTCCTGCCTTTTTTTTTTATTAGTTTATCCTGACTTTTTTTACATAAATTGTCATCCTGCCTTTTTTTTTTGCAAAGTTGCTCATCCTGCCTTTTTTTTTACTCAAAACTCCTGTCCTGCCTATTTTTTTCAAATTTCATCCTAGCCATCCCCCCCCCCACCCCCCACCCGTAGCTCCTTAAATTGATTTGGCCTTTTTCCAACTGATTTCGTTTTTGATGGAACCCCGTGATTATCGCTCTAGCAATGTTCTCGTTATGGTACGCAAACACGCATGTAGCCTGGGATCCTGGCCAACTGCTTGACAATAGACTGGATCCTGGCCAACTGCTTGACAGTAGACTGGATCCTGGTCAACTGCTTGACAGTAGACTGGATCCTGGCCAACTGCTTGACAATAGACTGGATCCTGGCCAACTGCTTGACAGTAGACTGGATCCTGGTCAACTGCTTGACAGTAGACTGGATCCTGGCCAACTGCTTGACAGAAGACGAAGTATTAGATTGGGTCAGGATGCCAGGCTAGACAGCATGTCACACGCTAATTGGATAAACGCCGAGAAGATCGAAATGTTTTTATAAACACGTGTACCTTTTGAGCAACGGAAAATTCCAACAGGGACCCATTACAGCTACTTGATGCAGGGCTCTATTTTTAGAACGAAATGATATTTCCAATCATAAATATTATAAAAATAGATTTACGCGACGACTGTAATCAAGTAAGGGTAAATAACGCAAACGATAGCGAATAAAAGCGTTAAGAACCCATGTTTTTGGCATATAATTGGGTTTTCCTTTGAATTAATTGGGTTGTTGAACCCTGCAATGGGCAATTGCATTGGATTTTTAATTATTTTTATTGCGTGATCACGCAAATACGCAGCTTATCTGGAGCACTGTTGATTGATTGATTGATTGATTGATCGATTAAACACGTTGGATAGGGTCTCTTGACACAGGCGAAAAAGAAACAAATGAGACCTTGGACCCCGTATTAAACACATGAGACGGAAACATGCATGTAACAATTGATTGATTGGTTGGTTGGTGGGTGGGTGGGTTGATTGATTAAACACTTTGGATAGGGTCTCTTGAAACAAGTGAAAAAGAAACAAAGGAGATCTTGGACCCCGTTTTAAACACGTGAGAAATTTTAGGGGCCATTGGCGAGTGGGCCCCTGCTAATTTCAAACCCTGAATTATATTGATTCAGTTGTGATGGTAAATAGACACTGATAGATAAGTCTGATAACTTTTTATAGTTTAATGTTTGGTCACCTATAGCTATTTACAATGATTATGTGGAAATATGATCTTATTTCAAAAAGAGGGCAGCTCTGCAAATATTATTATACTAGTGCATGAACTACTTGCTAGAAACTGAATGTTTTTACCACAACTTTGTATGTTTCAACTGGGATATGTATATGTACATATAATATAAAAAAAAACATGTCTTTTTCAGGACTTCTGATCCATGTTTGGCACGTTGGTGATTATTGGAAGGGTGAATGTTCATGACAGTCCTCTATTACAAAGTATATCACTGGATTGAGCTTTTTGTCCAAGTGTATTATTAAAGTGCTTTGCTTTGAGCTCAGTTCATTGTTATGCAAATGCATTCTTTGTGAAATGAAGATTTGACAGACAACTCACATCTGCACATGATCTGCTGCAAGGTAATATGATTAAAACTGTCAGCTAAAGGAGTTGTACCATCCATTCAATGTTCCCATTTATGGGGAGATTAAATCATTTTATTTGCACTTGAGCCAAACATTTTTTTGTCCATAAGCCAAATAAAAAAAGCACAAATTTACCAAACAATGATACTCCTCCTACTAAAAATATGATGCTACATGTAGGTGGTTTTGTAACACCTTTTTTAACATCTGTGATGCCTGCTGATGAGTCCTGAGTGTAAAAGATCTTTCACTTATACATACCGGTAATGTTCCTAAGTATAAATTATATTTTTTATCCTTTTGTCCTTCAATCCTGTTCATACATGTATCTAAAAGAATTTTAATCAGTTTGTAGGAGTTATGAGCATCTGTATTGGAATCTGCCATATCTGGTATATTATCATTACTATCAAACCATAATAATATATCTTTAATTTCCACATTTAAACAAAAACTTTTACTAATGATACTGGGAAGATCCTTAACAAATTTTTAGTTTTTTTTGTGGAGAAACCCAAGTAAGAAATGACCTCCTCAAAGGAACATAAATAAATGAAATACAACCATACAAATATTACATGCATACTACAATCACATCATGCAGAAATGCACCTAATGTGGTCCTCCTCTATTTTTAAGTTTTTGCTGCCATCCCAAATCAAATTTTTAAACTTATTTTATTGGAATAATTTGGCAATCCTTCCAAATCTTTTGCTTCTTTACGTAAATCTCTCCAGAATCGGAGCACACTCCGCTAGCTGTGTTCCCTTAACGGATCATTTATAAAAATGTTAATGTATTCACATAGAAGTTATTTCAAAGTTAAAATGTTGAAAGGAAATCCTCCAATGTAACTTGCACATGCACAAAATTTATTTACAGGAATGTACATATAATATACAGGAAGCAATCATAGCACATTGGCCAATATGTAGATTTGATATTAAAAGCAATGTCTAGCTAAATAAAATCTATGATCGGTCAGCACTGATTTAATGTAGTGTCTCCTACATGACAGTCTTGGTTGACCTGATAATGGTTTACTTTTACAACGTGTGACTTGGATGTAGAGTTGTCTCATTGGCACTCGTAACACATCTTCTTATATATATATATATATATTGAACAGTAAAACGCAATATTGAATATATATAAGACTGCTATTTTCAGTGTTTGGTACAGGTTGACTGTCACTGGGCACAACAGTTCAACATAGAACCCTATGGGGAAAACCAGAGAACTCTTTTTGTCAGAAAACACTGTCAAACATCCAAACATACTATCCACACTGATCTGTGTCCACACTTGTTTATATATATAAAAAAGTATCTAAAATAGAAATTTTTTACTCTGGTGCACCGAAAATGTTGCATCAGAAATGAGATTTAACAAAGTTATTTAGACTGAAGAACTTATAGATTCTTTGTCACTTTGTATGCTGATCATATGGGAAAAAAGAGTGATATTATACATTCTAACCCCGCATCAATTGTGAAACAATAGTTCTCTCCTCTAGAAATTTTAGTTTTCAAGATGCGAGGCTTGCCAATCAATATACACATTTAAGATTTCACTGTCAAGAGTAGAGAAATAAGTTATTGACAGATATTCTGTATGGGAATGTTTCTCTTGATATTTTTAAACAATACATTTATGTTACTATCTTTGTTTTTCTACTATGACCTGCAGAGATGTGTTCTTTTTGTGTGACATCAATGATCTTCAGGCATGATTATTGGTAGCCTTTTTTCCTGATGTAACAATGGCAAATTCTGAGAAAAGCAAGAACCTTTCAGCAGATCCAGGTTGTTTATAAAGAGAGGGGGAATTATTCCATATAACAGAAAAAACATATTTGATTTCATGCCAAAAAATTATATACAAGAGGGGTTCATCAGCAGAACTTGTTTTACAATAGAATTTAACTTTGCATTACATTAAAATACAATATGGAAAAAGAAAATGTAGACAATATATGCTTTAAAATTATGAACATTGACATTTAATGAAAAAAAAGACAATTTGCATTGGACAGAATTATAAATTTTCTTATTATACCTGCTTTAAGATAAGAAACTATATAAAAGAGGGACGAAAGATACCAGAGGGACAGTCAAACTCATAGACTGAAAATAAACTGACAACACCATGGCTAAAAATAAAAAGACAAACAGACAAATAATAGTACAGAAGACACAACATAGAAAACTAAAGACTAAGCAACACGAACCCCACCAAAAACTGGGGATGATCTCAGGTGCTCGGGAAGGGTAAGCAGATCCTGCTCCACATGTGGCATCCGTCGTGTTGCTTATGTTATTACAAATCCGGTAAATAGTCTAATTCGGTAGGTCACATTCATGAAAAGGGAAGGGGATTGTAGGTAAGATGTACAAGTTCTGTTGCTCGCTCTAAATCAAGAGAAAAAATCTGAATATCCAAAAAGCCAGAAAGGGATTTAAAACATTATAATCAACACAAAGAAAACTGAACAAAAAGCTGTATTGCAATATGATATCATGCAGTTCACATTATTCCTATTATTACATGTATTACAAGTTTTTGAATTTTTTTTCTCTTAAATTTGAATTCAAAAGTCCTACAAATAACTGTCATGACTGTTGAGTCCTGTAATTAAATTATTGATTGAATAATGAATGATTAGTTAAGCTGATCAGTAAATAAAGAAAACGCTTGTTTTAAATAAAAGAGTGTTATTATGTCATAAACTATACTGAATCAACTTCAAATTTAAACCAAATTCATATTTAACCGCTCTAAAATGCATAGACAATTGAAATACAAAACAAAAACCTGAGACTACTATAACACAGAGATTGGTCACTTCCTGTGTTAATAGTAGTCTCAGACAAAAACAAAACTGACTTGAACACAGTATATTCAAGAATGGGACAAAAATGAGATATTTATTTTTCTGATATCAGAAAAAATCTTCATAGTATCAAATCAGAATGAGAGTTCTTATTATTGCGATAATCAATTAAATCGCATTATTTACTAAATAATAAAAACCTCATGATAATTTCTGAATTTACAGTACTTAGCTTGTCGACCTCTGCGCTAAAAAATTTAAGTTTCCTAGGCCCAAATGTGGTTGAAATACTGACAATTTTGCTAACTTTTACCAAAAAACCTCTTTTTTATGACATAACTGGATTATTACTATTTCAGAAAAAGCTGCATACAGTTATATATGTATCACATGTCATATCAGAATGCTAGTTTGTATTATTTCAAAAAGTTATTACATTGTATTCAATTAATCAAAAAAACATCAATTACTTTTGAATTGATAGTTTATTTTTGATAGCCCAAAATATACCAGTACATACATTTGTTTATTTATACATCTGAATACTATTCATAACAGAACTTATCAAAATGAATGTTTTGCACAAGACAGTCATGGCAGTTCACAATTACAGGAGTCATTATAAACATAGTGACATCATTTATACAACCAAATTTTATTGTTGATATATATAAACTGAAATCATTGCAGAATTTTTTTTTTAAGGATTTATTGTTTGTTAGTCATTTACTTCAAATAATTAATCTGTACTAAGATAAAGAGATGTGGTAGGATTGCCAATGAGATGACAGTCTGAAAACTATTCATCAGAGTCCATATAATGTCTGTTAGCAGTTATAAGTCACTTTACAGACATCAACAATGAATAAAAACTTTCATTGTTTTCATGCAGCATAGGAAAAAGAGGAATTGCAGCTTTTTGGCTTTATACAAGAAAATAAAAGAAATATAATAATATAAATAAGAAAATAAGAGAAACAAAAAAGTCAGGACTTAGCCACTGGACTATATATAAAGTGCTCCCTTACTAATCCTTAGAGGAGCTGCTGTATACTTAGAAAAGAAAGATGTTGGGGACTTATCCACAGCTAACAGCATTTTGTGACTTAGGAACAACAGAGTAGATGCGGAGATACTCCATTTTGGCCAATCTGCCCTATTTGCTCCAACCTATTAAAATTAATGCCTAGGGTGAGAATTAAACCCATGTATGTACATATACTCTATTGTTCTCTATGTACATATATGAAAAATGTCAAATGCAAAACAAATGCTGTAATGTAAATATGGTAATTTACATCATTACACCCTCAATTTTTTATAAGGACCTAGAATAGGAAGTCCCTGGACCTAGCTAGACCTATTTCTTAAGCAAGGTGTATTATATAACTCTTGAAAACATTAAAATGCAATTGTAAAATTAATTATATCTACGGTTAAACAATAATAACACAATAGTGGTTATTTCTAAGTATTCAGTAACAACAACGTGAAATTTAAGTAAACAAACATCAATGAACGACCACGTGTTTGTCTACTGTGCTTGAATATAAAACGACCCATCAGCTTTATTTACACGAATTTTTGCTAAACCACAGTTAAACATGCTTGTTTTTATTACAAGTTTTATAAAAAATGTATTTGTTGTTATGACTTGTGTATGCATGGAAATATAATGAAGATAACATTGATTTTTACCATAAAAAATTGAATACACAACATTCCAGAGGTATACACACAAAACACATCCCACTTTTGTAACAATGGATGGTAACGTATAGCCACTTACATAACAGTAAATGCCATTGGATAAGCTACCCTACACAATAAATAATTTGCATATTCATGAGCGGACACAAGATTGCTTGTTTTGTTTTGATGGAAAAATTGTTTTGATGGAAAAATGTAAACATTGGAATCTGCCATTTTGACGTAGGAAACAAACTAATTTTCAATCTTGTATTAAAGGACAGTGCGTACATTGCCAGCATATCATGCATAACCAGTCATGTGAAAATATATCTTTTAATTTGTTTTCTACACTTTCTATTCTATGTTTTAGTTAATTTAATGTTTTAATTTCCTACAGAACGGAACATCGTTCTGAAAGACGTCGTAGAAAAAATTATAGGTGTCGCTGTTTGTGGGCGTAAACATTTTACATACAGGTAGTTTTTGTGTTGACAGATTGACCTTTATCTGTCAGATTCAGGCGTTTGCCATTCAACTGGAAAATAAGAAGAACTAAAGTATGTCATATGAATTGATATTCAGTTTGTTAATGTCTATTATTTTCAGTATCTGCCAGGTGTAAATTTAGTTTCTAAATATTTACCAATCAAAATGTATGGAAAAAAGAAATTTCATAATGTAAATTGATTCAAACCATGTTAGACTGACAATAAATCTATACTACTAAAGGAAGAGACAAATTTCATTGAGCCACAACTCCTCTGAAACCATACAAAGTCGGAAATATTTGTGATATGACGTATAAATGTAATGTTTTGTACTTCCTAAATTTGTCTTTGAAACAATCTTTTTTCCACAGAAAACGCCAATTTTTGAGAAAATATCCAAATTCGGAGACCATTATTGATCCATGTCTTATATGCTTTCTCGCATGCTCAGTCGATGTACTGCCCAACAACTCGGCCCACGACCAACTCGCACCACTCAAAAAAAAGAAATATATTAACAAACACGAAGAAATGTGTTTAATCATTAGATTGTTTTCTTGTCTTAGTAAATTCCTCCTTTCTCGGAACACCCGTGTCACACAGACACAGAACTCGCACCACTCGAAAAAAAAAAAATACTACAAACTTGCACCACTGAGGAAATGATTTAAATCATCAGAGAGTTCTAGATTGTCTTCTTCTTCTCTGAGTTATTTCCTCCGTTCTTGGAGCACCCGTATCACACAGAAAGTGATTCGCACCTTTTCGAAAAAAAAAAGAAAGAAATACTACAAACTAGCACCACTGAGAAATGTTTTAATCATCAGTGTTCTAGGTTGTCTTCTTCTCTGAGTAATTTCCTCCGTTCTAGGAGCACCTGTGTAACACCGATACAGAATCTAACTAATTGGACATTCAAACTCCTATGGAAGAAAAACTGACAAACTAATAAAAACTATCAACATAATGCATCAGTGCATAAAAACAATTTGAGAAACACGAACCCAAGCTGTGTATCACCATAAACATTTCAAGTAGTCTTCAAGCCGCACTCGCGTGGGTTTTTTTCTAGTATATAAAATGACAGAACCTTCGTGAGCACATCCACAAACACCACTCCCCCACATTGTCATTGGGCAAACACTGAATCTTCCTCAGATATAAATCTATGTGTGTATTAGTGTATTCTTACCTGGATCAATCATGATCCAATTTCTGGTCTCAATATCAAGTCCACAGCGACCTTCTACGAGGGAAATGCCATCAGTGGGACGTCTCCCTTCTGGAACATTATCCCCCACTAAAAGCTTGACCAGACTTGATTTCCCAACTGCGAATTGCCCGGTCACCATGCAGCGCATGTCAAATGATTCATAGCTTCCACTGCCAAGCAATTTGTTCAACATGGCAGGTCGGTCGAAATCTGGAAATATTTTTTTCCAAATGGTCAATTATTGATGTATTGCTGATGATGTCTCAAGAAATCTGTGCTTACACCTTATAAATAGTGACTAAATAGTATCATTCCTCAGCATTCATGGATATTCTTATTTTTATCCTACATTTTAGTTAAACTGTTGCTAGCTACATGGAAATAATTCCAATTTTTTGACAATTCTGATAAACTTATTATGAATTTTAACTTTTTGACTGTCAGATTTAAAGCATACTTACAATCCAATAAGATTTGTTCACCAATATTGTTGCTATCAAAGTATTGCCTAAAATTTCTATACCTACATTTAATGTATTAAAATATTGTATAAAATGGCAAAATTTGTATACTATTCTTTTACAAAACGTCTTCTTTATTTATAAAAATTCGTAAGGGTTCGGCGGAACCCAGTGTCTCGCCTACTTTTTCTGTTAATCGCAGGCTCAACAAAAATGAGGAAGTTAATCAATAAAAATATTCCTCTTGATACTATCTTTTGATTGAAAGAAGCTTCTGTCCAAGTTTGGTAAAAATCCAGGATAGTTTATGAATCTAATAAATGTTTAAAAACTTTAACTGCAGACTGAATGTAATGTTAACTGGAAAAAACAAAATTTCCTTCTAGATACTAGCATTTGATCATAAACAAGCTTCTGTCCAAGTTTGGTACAAATCCAAAATAGTATAAGAAAGTTATTAAAATTTTAAAAACTTTAACCACAGAGTGAATATGTTGTTTCCTGGCAGAAAATCTAAGTCCATTTAAAAGTAAAATATGGAAAAAATGGATTTATTTTTTTACAAAATTTCCTTCTAGATACTAGCTTTTGATCATAAACAAGCTTCTGTCCAAGTTTGGTACAAATCCAAAATAGTATAGGAAAGTTATTAAAATTTTAGAAACTTTAACCACAGAGTGAATGTAATATTTCCCGGCAGAAAACTAAGTCCATTTATAAGTAAAATACAGAAAAAATGGAATTTTATTTTTACAAAATTTACTTCTGGATACTATCTTATGATCATAAACAAGCTTCTGTCCAAGTTTGGTAGAAATCCAGAATAGTTTAAGAAAGTTATTAAAATTTCAAAAACTTTAACCACAGAGTGAATATTTGTGGACGCCGCTGACGACGACGCCGACGGAATGTAGGATCGCTATGTCTCGCTTTTTCGACTAAAGTCGAAGGCTCGACAAAAATCAGCATATTCAAACATCATTTTCAACTCAAATATGTAATATTCAGTTAGATATATATAAATGTACAATATAATTACATCCTTTCGTAAGTTTTACGGACGCCATCACAGACAGACCATTATGGAATATCCGTTTCACAGATGATAGCGGATATGTTCCTAATGTCGTAACCACAATCCCATCCCCTTTTCCCGAATGTGACCTACCGAATAAGACTTATTTCTGGGTTTGTACTTACATAAGCAACACAATGGGAGCCAGATGTGGAGCAGGATCTACTTACCCTTCCGGAGCACCTGAGATCATCATCCCAGTTTATAGTGGGGTTCATGTTGCTCAGTCTTTAGTTTTCTATGTTGTGTTTTGTGTACTATTGTTTGTCTTTTGGTCTTTTTCATTCTTAGCCATGGCGTTGTCAGTTTATTTATGACTTATGAGTTTGAATGTCCCTCTGGAATCTTTCGCCTCTCTTGTCAACATGTTTCCATGGTAGATAATTAATCCCCAATTTTGGAAATACTAATTGTATCTCCCTTTAATTCTTCCAGAGAACATATTCAAGCTTAAAGTATAAGTAACCAATATTTTAGATTTTAATTAAAACACTGCTTTGTTAACCAAATATAAATAAAGAGCTGCGCCAAGAGCGCATGATACGCCCGCTGCTTTTTCAAAGAATAGAATACCATAACTCCTCAATGTCATATCAAAAATAAAAAAAAAAAAACAACAGTGCACACGCTGAAATGTCTCGTCTTCTTTACTAACCATTGATATTATCTTGATAGTCCTAAATATAAAGCTTTACTACAACTATCACATAAACTTAACATGATCCAAGAAAATGAGGTCGAGGTAAGATAAACCAAACAACAAATACATGTACACCTTACAATCATTCAATACACTAAATATAGTTGACCTATTGTTTATAGTTTCTAAGAAACAGACTTAACCAAGAAAACTAAACATTGACAAATGAACCATGAAAACGAGGTCAAGGTCAGATGAACCATGCCAGGCAGACATGTACACCTTACAATCAATCTATGCATTAAATATAGTTGACCTATTGCTTATAGTATCTAAGAAACAAACTTAACCATGAAAACTTCACATTGACCAATGAACCAATGAAAATGAGGTCAAGGTCAAATAAAACCTGCGAGACTGACATGTACTTCAAAAAATATTTCCATACTACAACTAAGTTGACCTATTGCATATAGTATTAGAAAAAAAGACCAAAACTCAAAAACTTAACTTTGACCACTGAACCATGAAAATGAGGTCAAGGGCAGATGACATCTGCCAGTTGGACATGTACACCTTACAATCATTCCATACACCAGATATAGTAGACCTATTGCATACAGTATAAGAAAAACAGACCAAAACACAAAAACCTAACTATAACCACTGAACCATGAAAATGATGTCAAGGTCAGATGACACCTGCCAGTTGGACATGTACACCTTACAATCCTTCCCTACACCAAATATACTAGACCTATTGCTTATAGTATCTGAGATATGGACTTGACCACGAAAACTTATTCTTGTTCACTGATCCATGAAATGAGGTTGAGGTCAAGTGAAAACTATCTGACGGGCATGAGGACCTTGCAAAATACGCACATACCAAATATAGCTATCCTATTACTCATAATAAGAGAGAAATTAACATTACAAAAAATCTTAACTTTTTTTTCAAGTAGTCACTGAACCATGAAAATGAGGTCAAGGACAATGGACATGTGACAGACGGAAACTTTGTAACATAAGGCATCTATATACAAAGTATGAAGCATCCATTTCTTCCACCTTCTAAAATATAAAGCTTTTAAGAAGTTAGTTAACGCCGCTGCCGGATCACTATCCCTATGTCGAACTTTCTGCGCCAAAAGTCGAAGACTCGACAAAAATGGGAGGTTATTTTAATAGATATAAACCAGTCACCAAAGTTTCATGAAAACTGCTCAAAGCGTTTTTGAATTTTTGTTCGACATGTTGATGACGGAAGGATAGACAGTTGGACAACAGTGTACCATTATACGTCCCCTAAACAATCATATAAAACGGAAATAGATTTGAGGAAAAAAGACAAAAGATTTCAGGCTGGATCACTTAATAAAATTGAGAAAGGAAATGGGGAATGTGTCAAAGAGACAACAACCCGACCAAACAACAGAAACTTATGTTCAGTAACATTTGGCCCAGTAGTTCCATAGATGTTTTTTAAATTTTTTTTTATCTGAAAACAGATGGACAGACAAGGACAATGGCTACCAATTGATGGCAAAAGCTCACATAGCCTTTCAGACCAGGTGACTAAAAATGATTTTTTTTTATTATTCAATTGTCAGGTTATTTAATTAATCAAAGCACCAAAGGCGCTATAGGCAGTTAATTAAAAAAATCAAAGGTAAACTTGGCAGAAGTTAAGATGAATATAGTGGAAGAATGGATGAAAATATTTTTCTCTAATTCTTCGTCAATTTATCCCTTTCTGCACCCATTGTATAAAAAAAATTTAATCAACGTGTGGTTCGTTTGATCTCAGTTCTTCATTGGTTAAAATCCAATTATGACGTCGAATTTACTTGCTTTCCTCTGAATTTCCTATTGTGACGGCATGAAAAAAGGCGACCATGCCTGATGACGTCACATAGAAAGAACACATCTTTTTACAGACGGAATAAGTTTGCCTGCATATTGTTTGAAAATCATTAGAGAAACAGATTCCACCACCAAATCTCGTGTAATACGATATTTATCCACTCTCGACAGTTAAATTTTAAATATTTAAAACGCTCGGCGAGCCTCGCGTTTTAAATTTGAAAATTTAACTGTCTCGAGTGGATAAATATCGTATCACACTCGATGCAGTGGTAAAATCTATATATCTCAGCTATTTCTCAAGTATCAAATAATGTTTGTACCGTAATGTTTCTGCTATCCAATCCTACCACTTTCAAAAGTTATTTCCAATTTATTTTTTAAAGATTTAATGTCTGAGATTATGCACATACACTGTCCCATGTTAGGGGAGAGTTTTGTGCCAGTTTACATGTTTAACCCACCACATTCTGTATGTACCTGTCCATAGTGAGGACCCAGTAATTTGGTGATTGTTGATTGTTGCTGTATATCATATCTATTTTTCATAATTGTTTTGTACATAAATCAGGCTGCTTTAGTTTTATTGTTTTACATTTGTCATTTCGTGGTCGTTTATATCTTACTATGCAGTATAGATTTTGCTAATTGTTGCAGGCTGCATGGAGGAATATTCTTTTCAGAATAATAATTTCAATTATGGTGTCCAACAGTGGTGTATGGTTTAATTCCACTATGTACTAGAGTTTGAATATGCCATATTAGCGCTTTTAGTTGGATCAGCTGGTGCCACTATGCACAATTATCAAATCATACCTGAAACTATCTGAAATGGTGTAATTTTCTTGTATACTAGTATTACAAGAAATGCTGATGTTGTTATAATGGCCTAGCAATGATGCAACATATATTTTTGAAGGCTGTACGGTTGCCTGTAATTGCTTACATCCACTTCATTTGAATTTTGGTGGATAGTTGTCTCATTGGCAATCATACCACATCTCCTTATTTTTAAAATAATTACACATGTCTAATCTATAATAAGCTATTAACACAACGTAATGTTTTGCCTATTTGTTATTTTGATAATGCAAATGTTACACTTAAAATAGTAATACTTTAACATGTAAGTGATAAGTCAATGAACCATGACTGAAGGTACAAGGCT